TATATATATATTATATAGTATATAGCTTGGTCACCTCCCCCAGCCTGTGATTGTACAGTGAAGGCGCAGCAGACAGATGGGGTTATGATCACTCCGACCTCTCCTTCTGTCAACATGCTTCTTGTCTGCACATGAGATCAGCTTCGGCGGGGAGGGGGCAGAGAAGGCAAAATATCAGATGAATGCTTTTTAATGATTACAAACTAAGTTAGTTTCTGGGGACGAGAAGAACAGTTCTTTCTTAGTGCCATGGTCAGGGGTGTCACCTAGCGTGTCAATCGGCACGTATGTCATTATGTTACACGCCGCTATGCCCGTGCATAATGACGCCACATGCACTTCACTGCCGGCGGCCATCTTGCTGATGGACGCCGGCAAAGAGAGGAGGGGACATTCATCCGGCGGTATAAGGTATGTCGCTGGGTCCCTTCCTCTCTCGTGCAGCTGTCGGGCTCTCGGCCCATGACCAAGTGCCCGAATTTTTGGAGGAGGTGACACCAATATGACTGTCAGCCATTTTGGTGTCACCCCCTCTGATGGCGTCACCCAATGTGGGCAGAAGCCCCTGCACCACCCTTGGGACGCCACTGGTCATGGTGGCTTGGACGGTATGTACTATATGTCGGGTATGTGATAATGGCGACTCACGTGACGACGCAGGGGGCGTGTTTTCTGGGCGGAGATCATCACAATATTCACAATCAAAAACGAGCATTTTTGAGATTTCAAGAACACAATTAGGACTAATTTTAAGGACCGTCGCGGCGCCTTTAAGAGCTCTCTTGCTCCGCCGGCTGTCTCATGCTCCTTGGATCGCGCAGCTGACCACATTGGCATTGACTGCCGCCATAAAACAGAGTGCTCCGCCATGAATAATTAACGCCGCGCTTTACACTGCAGCATCCTGAATTATTGATGGCGGAGCGTTTTGATTGTTTTTTTTTTTTAAACATATACGGCAACACCTGAACAATGACATCCGCAGCGTGGACTTTGCCCAAATCCCAAATTAATGAGCCCCCGGCCGCTAACAACAAGTCGGCAGTGCTTCGCTTCTGCGGGATGACATCATTGGTCCCGCCTGTTAAAGTAGCTGTAAACACGACAGCCGAAACCTCATAAAAACTTTAACGTGTTTACATTGTTTCAAAAGTTGCTTTTTTGACCTTTATTGAAGCCTGCAGCTTTAAGGGCCCATTCAACCAATGGGCGTACGTCAAGGCGATGCATTGCCATGTGTCAAGGCCGCCCTTTCATCTTGAGTGGACTGGGCCCTTATAGGGTACGGTGCACAACCTGCTCCTGGGAGGGACAAGTGCTGCGTGTAATGGCGTGCAGCCGCCCGTATCTCCCTATGAGAGGACGCAGCTACACGCCAACCAGAACCCACGCAGGTCTGGGCAGTGGCGGGGGTGTGGCCCGCACCCGGGTGACACCATTGCAGGGGTGACACCAAAATGACTGACAGTGTCAGGAGAGGGGAGTGGACCCGCAGCATACCTCATCCCTCCGGGTGAACGTCTCCTCCTCTCTCTGCCGGCGTCCATCACCAAGATGGCCGCCGGCAAGTGTCAATTAGTGATGGGCTCGATGACGTCATCGCACATGCACGGCCATCTGATTGACACTAGTGAAGAGCTCGGGCGTGTTCGCAGCTCCACGTGCCGAGCCCGCCGGAAAGCTGACAGCGCCAATCACAGGCACGGAGACATTGCCCGATCTCTGCAGCTGCGGACCGGGAACATGTCTCAGTACCTGTGATTGGCTCAGCTTCCTGGCGGGCTCGGCACGTGGAGCTGCGAACACGCCCGAGCTCATCACTAGTGTTAATCAGATGGCCATGCATGTGCGATGACGTCATCGTGCATGCGCGATGATGACACGCCGGGGTGTCACCCGGTCTTGAGACCTTGTGACACCCCTGGGTCTGGGTGCCCACACTTAGACACACACTGTCTGCGGGCACCTGGAAGGATTTGCAGGTTTGAGTCGGCGTGCCGGCATAGGCAGTAGCGGGAAGCTGCACGCAATGAGACACAGCACTATTCCCTCCTGGGAGCAGGACTCTGCACGCCAAAGGAATGTGCACATCTGTGTGAATGAGCCCTTAAATGCCGCTGCAACGCACCACACCGCAGCTATTGCATGAGCGTACATGGTGGTAACATAAATTACCGGAACACATCAGGGGGAAAGGTAATATAAAAATCCCTGGTGATCCTGCCATGAAGGTCCTTATTGAGGCACTTCCCTTCTCTCACCTTGTTACAATGTTATGAGGTGACAACTGTATTCCCATTTGTGCCCCTGTGGTGTCACCCTGTCACACGCCTCCCTTGGTAGAGACTGCAAGTCCACATTGTCAATGTCCACCGTTGTCACTGTCATGAAGCCGGACCAGAGCAGTGATGTGCAGCCAATGCCGGGACGGGTGCATGTAGACAGGAAGTGGTCGACACAACAGAGGGCAGAAGAGATCAGCAGCACTGAGATGAGTAGGATGCAGAACCAGTGACAACAATGATTTCATGGAAAAAAAATGGCAACTGTTTCACCAGTTTGGGTTTAGATATACTTCAATGCAGGGGTAGGCAGCTTGGCCCTCAAGCTGCTGTGGAACAACAAATCCCATGAGGCATTGCAAGACCCTTACAGTCACGGGCATGACTCGCCGAGGCAGAAGCATGATGGGATATGTAGTGTCAGCACAGCTGGAGTGCCAAGGATGCCTATCTCTAGCTAAGAGAGCCACTCTAATCCAGTGGTAGGCAACGTCAGCACTCCGGCTGTTGCGGAACTACAAAATTGTTTTTGAACTTTGCTTTTCACTCACCTCATAGTTCTAGCCGACCTGTGACAATGAGACTGTCACAGGTCGGCTCAGTAGTTCGCTCGCCTCTCGATCCTGTCACGGCTCTCTGCCGTGACAGGGGGAGGGGCTGGATTCCCCTCTCCGATCCTCCGGCGCTGACTGGCGGAACGGACGGGGGAGGGTACAGCTGGCTCTGCCTCTAGATAGGCAGAGCCAGCTGTCACTCACGCAGCTGGGCGGATCTCGTCATCTACGTCGGGATCCGCTCCGGCTGCGGCGTCTCAGTATACCGTGAGCTGTAGCTCGCGGTATACTGAGCTTAGGGTAACGGGAGGACGCTAGTTTGTGTCCTCCCATTACCCTAAGGAGAACTATGGGGAAAAACACTGACCCCATAGTTTTCCTTTAAAGTGAACCTGTACTGTGACCACCCCACTCCTGGGTTTCGGTTGTTTTCTAATGAAAGAATGTACGGAATATGATCTGTTTGTACCCAGATTATCAATGAGTAAAACCTGACACTATTATGATGACGTCACTACACCCAGCAGAGGCGTCTGAGAGCAGGACAGGGATGGAGCTGCGCTGTCAACAGGAACCGCTGTCTGCTCACTGTCACCGGAGAGAGCCAATCAGCAATTGGAGAGCAGGGGGCGGGACAGCAGAACAATCTGCTCATTGGCTGGCCGAGTTTCGCTGAGGCCGCGGTGCACGCTGGAAAATGTAGTTTTAGGCACGGGTTGAGTGACGTAGATTGTGTGCGCCGCCGTGTGTTGTTATTAGGGACTCCATGGCTCTATTTCCAGCTTTTGCAGCGTCTGCCAGTACCGGTCCGGCCGATGATAACAAAGGTAACTGAGGGAGGGGTGCTGGTTCCGTGCTGGGCACATGTATGCCCTCATTTCCTGGTAGGGATCCCTTGCAGCCCCCTGTTGCCCTATGCCCCTGTTAGTGCCCTTCATTAATCTATTGCCAGAGCTGCTCTGTATCCCCATACTTCTGTGGAAGCCCCCCCCCTGTTGCCCTATTTCTCCCTGTCAGAGAACCCCCCCCCTTCCTGTAGCTCTGTGCCACCAGCTAAAGCTCCCTTGGCATAATGTGCCCCATGCCAGGGCCCCCCTGTAGCCCTGTGTCCCCTGTCGGTTCCTCACTTTTGGCTTATTGTTGAAGCTTATGCCACCTGCCAGAGCCTCATTTAGCCTATTGCCAGGGCCCGCTTGTAACCCTATGCCCCTTTCTGGAGCCACCTTGTAGCCCCTTGCCTCGTACGTGAGCTCCCTTGTAACCTTGCTGCCCATGCTGGGCCCCCCTGTGCCTCCTGATGGTTCCCCTTTTAGATTATTGCTGGAGCCCCCCCTGTAACCTAGTGCCACCTGCTAGATCCCACTTTAGCCTATTGCCAGAGCCCCCAGGTAGCCCTGTACCCCTTTCTGTAGCCCCTTGCCCCCTACCTGAGGCCCTTTGTAGGATAGTTCTCTTTGCCGGAGTCCCCACGTAGCTGCACGCTCACGGCCCAAACTCCTAATATATCGCTTGAAATGGGAAGAGGTTTCCCTTAGAGTTAGACTGACAGATGTGGAGATGTCTGCCTATGAGCGGTAGGACCGGGACCAGGCTACTACCAGGATTTAGCCAGCCAGTAATTTTCCTGGTATTGCCTGATGTATGCGCACAGAAACAACCCCTTATTTCCTGGTTGTCACTGAGTTTAGAGAAGGGTTATGTTGCAATAAGCTGGACCATCTATGCAAATAGAATGAGGATTTTTGATGTTTACAAGTGCTTTGTTTTGTAATAAACTAGGGCTGTGGAAATTAAAGATTAATTTCTCGATTAATCGTTAAACCTTTTGATTGATTACAATTATTTTGATCGCTAATAAACACTCGCCTCTCCGCCGGCTTCCGGGAGTCCAGACATCAACGTCACCGGACTCCTCCCCCAAGTGGCTCCGTCAGCTAACAAAGGGAAGGGGGGAGGAGTCAGGTGACGTCGATGTCTGTGACTGCTAACGAAGGTAAGGGGGAGGAGTCCGGTGACATAAATGTCCGTGACGTCACCGAACTCCTCCCCCCTTCGTTAGCCGATAGAGCCACTTGGGCCGGTGAGTTTGACCAAGAAAATTTCTGCACGAGCGCCAGCCAAGGCATTGGCCTATACACATACAGCACAGCAATGAAGTCATAAACTGAACTAGGATCACACTAATCCAGCACGTTATTATTCTGAGTTGCCACACTCAAGCGGCGGCCATATTGAGTGGGGCACGTAAGATTAATAACGTGCTGGATTAGTGTGATCCTAGTTCATTGTATTACTTCATTGCTGTGCTGTATGTGTATAGGCCAATGGAGTTGGATCTGTATGTGCGTTATAATTAATTGGTTAAAAAGAATTTCGATTAATCGAACACGGAAATGTTAATCATTACCAGCCCTATAATAAACATGACCGTTAATGGCCTGAGGGTGGGATGGAGACACTTATGGCCACCCAACTCTGCCAGAGACATGAATTCGTCAGTTATGTTTATCTTGTGACATGCAGAGTGACTGTGAAGTGGAGAAGAAATACCGTCATTCTAGTTGCTGGGAAAGGAGGTTAAAACCGAACTCCAGACCAAACTTTTTTTTCTTTTTAGTTTTGCATGAGGAAAGTTTAAACTAGGGGATCAAAACTAAGGATGGGCTCTGGCGTGTTCGCAGCTCCACGTGCCGAGCCCGCAAGGAAGCTGACAGCGCGCAGGGCCAATCACAGGTACAGAGACATGTTCCCGGTCCGCAGCTGCAGAGATCGGGAAATGTCTCCGTGCCTGTGATTGGCTCTGTCAGCTTCCTGGCGGGCTCGGCACGTGGAGCTGCGAACCCGCCCGAGCCTATCATTAATCATAACCTGGGACATCCATGCCCTATGCATGCAAGCAGTGGGCAAGCTTTTTGGGGAGAGTCTTGCAAATATCCAAATGCCTCAATGGGTGGGTGATCGTCTGGAGGAGTGGGTGTTCCAGGCGGGCTGCATTTGCACTCCGACCGCCCTAGGTAACGTCTACATGTGCTGCTGAGCTTCCGTGATTGAAAGAGCTGAAATCCAGTGAAAGAAAGAGGCGGGACAGTCAGGCAGGGGAGGGCTAGTTCAGGGGTAGGCAACCTTGGCACTCCAGGTGTACTGAAACTGCAAATGCCATCCTGCCTCTGGTAGTCATATGTGTGGCTGTCAGCGTCTTGCTTCATGTAACTTGTAGTGATGCTGGACGTCCTCCAGCCAGGAAATGAGGCGGGGCCGTGTCTGACTTGCTGCAGCTTCTAATGCACATTGTGAGAAGCTCCCAGCGTGCAGTGACATCAGAGGAAGCAATTTCAGTCCAGGAGAGGAGCCGGTGCAAGACTGAAGGGAAGGAAGAGTTCAGTTTTACGAACCCCTGCTCTAGACCATTTTATTTAGATGTATGTGTCCCCATGAGGATGATTTCCCCTCACTTCCTGTTCAGTTGTCGGCTGCCTGACGGAACAGAAAGAGAAATTGATATGGGGACCCGGACAGGATTTAAAACCTGAGAAAGGTTCTGTCCCTTCCAAAGACTTGACTGGAGTTGGGCTTTAATGTACACCTTGCTGCCTTTCACCCGAGGTGTCAGGTGAGGGTTGTGTGAATGACATTCTACCTCCAGAGGCGGCTGGTGATTGTGAGGGGTTGAATGACACATGGGTTTTTTGTCCCGATGTGATAAAGCTGCAGTGATGTCACAGATATTGATCTTGTCTCTTCCTCTGCAGAGCTTAACTGGCTGAGAAACGAGAGCTTTTGTACGAAGGACGCACTGTCTCTGCATCAGCGGTCACTGCAGGCTGAGCCGCCCTCTCGTCCCGAATCTCCTCTCCCCAGGTATCTTCAGCTGCGCGCAGTGACACTCATTATGACTGAAGATTGAACTGTCTGTGTTGCTGTTGTCAAAATTGTGTTTTCAGTCTGAGCAACTTTCAAAACTATCCTTGCAGTGGGGCTCCCCCAACACCCCCCCCCCCTTGAGTGTACCATTAGAAGCAGTTTTATGTAACTTATCCCTTGCCCCCACTGGCTTCCTCCTCGCCATGTGACCGGTCCCCCCAAGCCACTTCCCTTCAGTGCTCTGTCCATCGGTCACAATCTGACACCATCATGTACAATGCAGGAGCAGCAGTCCTGCATTGTAAGTGGGACCGTACACAACCCGTACTGTCAGTGGGAAGAGGAGAGTTGCTGGAGGAGTGAGTGAGGAATGGGGCAAGACTTCAATCCTAGACAGAAACAAGCACCTATTCCTTAAAGGAGAACTATGAGGCGGGTGCTTTTCACTCACCTCATAGTTCTAGCCATGGCGGGGGACGACTGTTGCCAAACATCTGGATAGCCGCCTGTCTGTCATTCCAGTCTAAAACTAAGGGACCTGACACTTGAAGAGCTCCATGTAGCCAAACTGTGCACCATGAAATCTGTTGAAGCCTTAGTAGGCCTCATGCCGCAAGTCACATGACCATCTGCTAGTGACCATAGTAGTAACATTCTTTACAGTCCCCTCCCACCACATGTGGGTGAGTGTTGTGTTTCTGATATACTACCTATATTACAGATGAGCTCCAGGATACTTTGCCCAAATCATTCTCCTCCATTGGCACAATAAAAACCAGCATTTTTTTTTTTTCATGCTCTCCTATTGCTGCTGAAAATGCCATTTTAAAAGTCTGTGATGTCATTACTTATTTGGGTCAATTGCAGTTAGGCACATGGAGGAGGGCTCACTCGTGCGCCAACATCCTATTCCTTCTCTAGCCAGTGCCGCATCAATGAACTACAAGTCCCATCATGCAATAGGACATTACTGCTGGCAGTTGCTGTGATTGTGGATGGGGCTATGGACAGTCATAGGCCTGTAACTCTTTGCCTTGTGTCTCTGCCCTCGTCGCTGCACTGCCTACAGCAGGGGGTAGGAAAACTGTGGCCCTCCAGCTGTTGTGCAGTTTCACCACAACTGGCCGGAGTTTGCCTAACCCTGGCCTACAGTGAGCCCAGGAGCTCATTTACATAAGCTGTCAATCAATCCTGGCAGGTGAGAAGCAGTGTGACAGACGAGGAGTCTCCTGACCTGTCAGTCAATCTAATACTGTCAGAGTGGGCGGGGCAGACCGGAAGCCTGAGCAGCCCAGGCTCCTCCCTCTGCGGCGCAATGGCATAGCTGCTCACATCTTAAAACAACACGGGTGTTACTCGATTGGTGGTCCGGGGAAGGGGACCGGAACAGGAAATTGGGGACAGTGAGCGCTGAAAAGGATCAGTACAGCGATTTCTCTATGGCTGCTGCAAGGAATGAAGAAATAAGCACATTTCTATGAAGGGAATGCAATGCTTTCACATTTCAATCCGGAGTTCAGCTTTTTTTTTTCTTCAAATTCTTTATTTATGAACAAAGAGGTGGGATACAGGGAGTATATGCAAAGTATATGGGCCACATGGCCGCACATCAAACCAAGTCGGAAAAAAAAAAAAACCTGACGGTTAAAGGAGAACTATGGGGTCAGTGTTTTTCCCCCTAGGTTCTCCTTAGGGTAACGGGAGGACACAAACTAGCGTCCTCCGTTACCCTAGGCTCAGTATACCGCGAGCTACAGCTCCCTGTATACTGAGCCGCCGCAGCGGATCCCGACGTAGATGACGGGATCCGCCCAGCTGCGTGAGTGACAGCTGGCTCTGCCTATCTAGAGGCAGAGCCAGCTGTACCCGCCCCCTCCCCCGTCCGTTCCGTCAGTCAGCGCTGGCAGATCGGAGCAGGGAGAGGGGAATCCAGCCCCTCCCCCTGTCACGGCAGAGAGCCGTGACAGGATCGAGAGGTGAGCGAGCGACGGTATGTGTTCCCTCACCTCCTGATCTACTGAGCCGACCTGTGACAGTCTCATTGTCACAGGTCGGCTAGAACTATGAGGTGAGTGAAAAGCACTCACCTCATAGTTCTCCTTTTTAATGATATGACACAAAAAAATTGAGAACATCTCAAACAATATCAGAGCATACATTGTATATACCCGAGGACAATTCGGCTCAGGTTGGGCTCTCCTCATCCCATCCCCTAAGGCATTTTGTGTTTATAAAACAGGGAGTTCAGCTTTAAGCAATGTCTATCCTCTCTCATAGGAGCAGTCCCTCCCCAGGACGCCAGTCATCCGACAGTGAGGATGGGTCGGAGGCTGGTAGGAAAAAGAAGAAAAAAAAGAAGAAAAAGAAGAAACACAAAGAGCTGAAAAGGAGGAAGAGGGACAACGATGACGACGCATCTGATTCTGCCTCTGAAAAAAGAAAAGGTGATGTGGAGGCGACGGCCAGAAGCATCAGGTGATAGAAATGTTTATAGAGTTCAGTTACATATTTTAAAGCCCAAATGAACCTTCACTTTAAACCCACTAAATACATTCAAGCTGCATGAGAAGACAACGTGTGCAAGGTGTTACAGTTTGTTTCTTTATAGAAAGCAGCCACAGAGTAGAATAGGCTGCCCCCTGTCGGCGTGCTGCAGAGAGGGACTCTTGCTGACTGTGACGAAGCAGTGGTCTCTCTGCAGACGTCTGACAACTCTCTGCACTGAAAGGGTTAAGTGCACTCATTCTTTCTGCCCTCCCCTTTACCCTGACCTAACAGATTCCACCCTCTGCAGATGTATACTTACCTTGGTCAGACCCATGCAACCTCCAGGGGTTATTTACTGTTTACGTCCTCTCTCTCCTGGCTACACCTGTGAAGTAGAGCACCATAGACTTCTCCCTCTGTTAGACAAGCCCTATAGACTTCTATGGGGCTCACCTACCTCCATCTCTCCTCTGGAAGACAAGCCCCATAGACTTCTATGGAGCTCACCTACCTCCATCTCTCCTCTGGAAGACAAGCCCCATAGACTTCTATGGAGCTCACCTACCTCCATCTCTCCTCTGGAAGACAAGCCCCATAGACTTCTATAGGGCTCACCACCTCCATCTCCCCTCTGTTAGAAAAGCCCCATAGACTTCTATAGGGCTCGCCTACCTCCGTCTCCCCTCTGTTAGACAACCCTCATAAACTTCTATAGGGCTCACCTACCTCCGTCTCCCCTCTGTTAGACAAGCCCCATTGACTTCTATAGGGCTCACCTACCTCCATCTTCCATGTCATACAAGCCCCATAGACTTCCATGGGGCTCACCTACCTCCATCTCCCCTCTGTTAGACAAGCCCCATAGACTTCTATAAGGCTCACCTACCTCCATCTCTCCTCTGTTAGACAAGCCCCATAGACTTCTGTGGGGATCTACTGCTCAGGCGTGGGATGTAAACACACACAGGAGGTTGTTGGCATTGGGTCTTGTAAGTATACTTACAATAGATCTATGGAGGGGGTAGGTTGGGATTTGTTAGCTCAGGAATGGGAGACAAAATGTCCAAAGGTAGAAGTATAAGGTAGCTCCTTGCTCCAGCAGCCTTCCCCATCTATGTGTCTGGTCCTCTGAAGCCATTTCTCTTCTGCGCTCTGACTGGCAGTTGCCTGTACAATGCAGTTATGTGCATGAGGATGGAATGGGCCACAACCCAGAGGGCCGGAGTCCTGCCGGAGTGAGGAGCACGAGAAGTGTCACAGCTTAGTCTTCTACTCTTATACTTAACAGGCGTTTAACCCTCGCAGTGCAGGTTTAACTACCACCACCAGTCTAGGTTTGTTTTTTTACTTTTTTTTTAATCCCAGATTTCAGCATTATAACAGAATATTTTGTTCAGACTTTAAATCAGATTTGTAACTGTTGCTTGTTGCAGTGAGGCCTCCCAGAAGTCAGCCCCCGGAGTCCGCTCGATCTGGCTGGAGGAAGCTCAGCCTGCGGCAGAGGAGACGTTCAGGATTGATAAGAAAGCTGACCCAGCAAACTGGGAGTACAAATCGCTGTACCGAGGAGACATAGCGAGGTGAGACGGCACGCAGCGTCACTCAAGCCTAAAACTGTTTTGGCTCAGGAAATGTCGGGGGTTAAGGGGGGGGGGGGGTACCCTCCCTTAATT